GAAACTATTGCTCTTTTCCATGTGATGTGCTTACTGTGTTGTGCTGTTTTCATATAGTGATATAATGGTGTCCAGTAACTGTCCTCCTGGTTCCGTGTTCTTCCTGCACTGTCTACACATTTTGTCCTGGTCTATTCTGTTCAAGTGGGTAGTTGTCGGGTGCTCTGGTGTGGTTTTCTCCTTCTTTCCTATCAAACATCTATCGTCCTTATCTCTTCTCCTTCTTTTTTTGTGAATGTTACTCTCTTGTAACACAGAATCTATTCTTCGGCACTTTTATGCCCTTATTGTGTTTCAAGTGCCGTAAAACTGTTACTAAAACTAAAACATTCTGTTGAAGGCTTTTTCTTGGTCCACAAAGACAGTCTTTAGTTATTGGTCATACTCTCTGGTCTTTTCACTTTTTAAGTATTTTTTCCTTGTGCCCTGATTCTGGTGCCGATATATATACATGTATTTGTAAGTTACGTAAAAATGTATTGACATGGTGCAAATCAAGAAAAGCTGTCTGAGTGAAATTATAGCGTCTGTGCAATTTTTTTCCTTTTCTGGATCCAACTTGTGCTCTACTGAGCTATGTCGAGGAGTGGCCTTCGGGAGCTCTCGTGGCCTAGAGGTTAAGGTGTTGGCCTCTCATTCAAAGGTCACGGGTTCAAATCCGAGTAGCGACCGACAATTTTTAATCTCCTTTCACCACCTTTCCTGCTCTCTAGCAATATTCTGTCGTCTGCTTTCGTCTCCTCTTTCTGCCCCCACCCCCTCACCTCCTTTGCCCCCTCCCCTGGGCTCGGGACTCTTTCTGCAGCCTTTCTTCTGCTACTCCTTGGCTCCTTCTTACTGCTGTCTTTCAGCCACACTCTTGATCTTCTGGTAGGAAAAGTCTACACCTAGCCTTCTTGAACAAGGGTGAAAAATCTCGGAGGACCCGTGTGTAAGTTGCGCACGTTAAAGATCCCTTGGTGGTCTAAAATCGATAAGCGTCGGCTTCGGCCGCCGCCCGGGCAAATTTCCTACCAACTGAAAAGGTTTAGTGTATCCCGCGAGCTCATGTGACCTTATGCAGTTACGAGCACCAAAAACATTTACCCAAAAAAAAAAAAAAAAAAGGAGTGGCCTTGTCTTTTGTCCTAATATATTTGAATACATGTAATAATATATCTTCCCAATATGGCTATGTAGGGAGATTCCCCTGTATTTTTTTGTCCTAGTATATTTGAATAATAATATTATCTTCCCAGCATGACAAAGTAGGGAGATTCCCCTGCAGGTGTTGCAGTCATTTTTGTTTCTTTTATTCTTCCATTTTTGGGACAATAATGGTACTTTGTCAGTCTTCCTGGATTCCGCGTTCTATTCTTACTACGTGAAACATTGTTACGGGCCATGTGATACTGGCGTCTATGCAAGTCTGTATATGGCCTATATTTGGTGTGGTTACTTTGGGGTTGTTTGTTGGTCTTTTTACTTGTTTTTGTTTCTTTTTTGTTTTATTGTGTTGTATTTTATTCTTTTTCATTAAAAAAAAATGTTTGTTAATTTGTTTGTTTATGTTTGTTTGTTTTAATTTTATTTATTTTTTTGCTATGTTACGTTATTTATTTATTTATTA